ACAACATCAGCTTCAGGTGTACAGTGCTGTGATCAAGCCTCTTCCCCATCCATGATGCAGTCTTCCTAGCAAGACATGTGACCACCTGACACCCCACAAAATATTCACAACACCATCAAGTACATCCCTCGAACTGTCTTCCACGTCCCTGTGGCAACACTGCAGCTACCTATTTATGCTGTCCAACCCCCTCCCCATCTCCCCCATCCCCACCCGCTCCCAACCAACAGCCATCAGTTGCTCCTCCATATTTCCAAGATGGACTTTGTTTTTAAAGTTTTAAAATACCGCGTGTGTGTGTGTGCGCGCGCGCACTCACACCCACATGTGACAGAGAAAGAGAGCATGCACAGGCATGCAAATGTGCATGTGAGGAAGCAAGGTAGGGGATGGAGAGGGAAGAAATAATACAATTCCTGGTAGAGAAGGAACTTTTCTTTCCTATTTATAGCATATTAGATTGCTTAAATCTTTTATATTAAAAAATAACAAGTTGGTGGTACATATAATTAAATTCTGGAATAATGGAGAGAGTGACAGAAGATCTTTAAGTTCTGTGTATTTAGATTTAATTGGAATATTTAATTCATTTTTATTTAGTGTAACTGGTATTCTTTCATCTTCCTATTTATTTTCTCTTTGACCCATGTGTTGTTTGTTTCCATTTTTCTCCTTTTCTGACCTGCTTCGGAATTTTCAATTAACAAAAAAACTAATTTATCCTTTCTGATGACCATAATTTTTTACTCTTCTTTTAAAGGTTTACCAGAGATGTAAACATTCTTGCTTGATTTTTTTGAAATTTAATCTAAGTTTGTACTTTGACCATTGCCCGGATAGTGAATGCAGTGGCTTTAGAACACCACCTATCATCATTTTTGGTAGTGTGGGGTATAAAATAAATGTAGAACTAAATCACATGACGAGACATTGTTGTTGCTGTTGCTTATATTTTATGTGTTATCATGCATATGCTATATGAAGTCAGTATTCATTTAGAGTTATCCAAATATCGATGCTTTTTCTAGTCCTTGCTGTCTTCATACATGTCTCAGCTTCTTTCTAGTATTTTTTTGTGCCTATTGGTGGAAGTCTACTGGAACAAATTCCCCTAGTGTTGGTTCACCGGAGAGAGTCTTCATTTCTGTGTCAATTTTGAAGGATTTATTTGCTTGGCATAGAATCACAGGGAGGAGTTACTTTCAGTTTCAAAAGGTATTATTGCATTGTTTCATAGTTTCCATCATTTCTGTTGTAAAGTCAGTTGTTAGTCTTACTGTCACTCCATTGAAGTAAAGTATATTTCTTTGGCTGCTTTTATGATTTAGTTAATTTAGTTAATTATTTCAGCTTTACTGAGGTATAATTGACATAAAAATGTGAGTTATTTGACTTGCACAACATGGTGATTTGATATACATATGCACTGTGAAAGGATTCCCCCATCTAGTTAATTAACACATCCATCACCTCACATATTTATCTGTTTGCTTGTTTTTTTCCGGAGAGAACATTTAAGTTCTACTGTCTTAGCAAATTTCAGTTATACAATAGTATTATTAACTGTAGTCACCATTAAACCCTCAGACCTTATTCATCTATAGCTGAAGTGTCTACTATGCTTTTACCAACCTCTCCGTATTTCCCCACACCCCAGCCCCTGGCAACCACTTGACTCTCTGTTTCTATGAGTTTTACCTTTTTCAACAATTTTTTTTATTCCACATGTAAGTGATACCATGCATATATACCCGGAAGTGGAATTACTGGATCATGTGTTGGTTTTATTTTTAATTTTTTGAGGAGCCTCCATACTGTCTTCCATAGTGATTGCACCAATTTTCTTTCCTACCAACGGCGCACAAGGGTTCCCTTTTCTCCACATCCTCGCCTTCACTTATCGCGTGTTTTTGCTATAGGCATTTTAACAGATGTGAGGTGGTATCTTGTTTTGATTTGCATTTCCCTGATATTAGTGATTTTGAACACCTTCACATACACCTGTTGGCCATCTGTATGACTTGTTTATAAAAGTGTCTGTTCCTCTGGCCCATTTTTTTTATTTATTTTTTATTAAGGGATTTTTTTGTTCTTGTTGTAAGATTTTTAAAAATTTCTTATTGGGGAATTGGGGGGATGGGAACAGCACTGGGGAATTGGGGAAAGGGGAACAGACAAGTTGCTGTCTTTTTGTTCTTCAGTCTAGTTGTGGGGGACATTGCTTCACTGGACCAAGTTGGCACCATCATTGCGCTCTTCTCTGGCGAGGCAGATCAGTCGCCAGCTTCTGGACGGCCGCTCACTGCGGCTGCTGGCCGCTCACGCTGGCTGCTGGCTACACACGGTAGCCCATGGCAACCCATTGCCACAGGGGCTGCAGCCTACGTCCTCGCTGCGACTCATGGCAGCCCAGCTCCAGGTTGAGCTGTTGTTCAGCATCTTAGCTGTGGAGGGCAGTGTCACTGGCCCTCATATGTGGGATCTGAACCGGGGCCCTCTGGTGTCCCAAGCCAGCTCTTAACCATCGCGCCACTCGGCCGGCTCCTCTGGCCCATTTTTTAATCGAATTTTTTGTTTTGCTATTGAGCTGTATAAGTCCTTTATATATTTTGGATATTAACCCATTATCAGACATATGATTTGAAAATATTTTTCCCATTCCTTAAGTTGTCTTTTCATTTTGTTCATGGTTTCCTTTGCTGGGCAGAAGCTTTTCAGTTTGATATACACCCACTGGTTAATTTATTTTTGTTTATTTGTTGCCATTGCTTTTGGTATCAAATTCAAAAAGTCTGTTTCAAGACAAACATTAAAGAGCTTACCCAATATGTTTTCTCCCGAGTTTTATTTTTTATGTTCAAGTTGTTAATCCATTTTGAGTTGATTTTTGTGTATGATGTAAGGTAGGGGTCTAGTTCCACTCTTTTGCATGCAGCTGTTCGGTTTTCCCAGTACCATTCATTGAAGAGACTCTCCTTTCCCCATTCTTGGCTCCTTCATTGAAAATTAATTGACCATTTATGCATGTGTTCATTTCTCGGCTTTCTATTCTGTTCCATTGATCTATGTGTCTTTTTATGCCAGAATCATACTGTTTTGATTACTATAGCTTTGTAATATAGTTTGAAATGAAGAAATGTGATGCCCCTAGTTTTGTTCTTTCTGAAGATTGTTTTTGTTATTTGGGGTCTTTTGTGGTTTCATACAAATTTTGGGATTGTTCTATTTCTGTGAAAAGTATCATTGGAATTTTGATAGGGATTGCATTGAATCTGTAAACCACTTATGTAGTATGGACATTTTAAGGATATTTGATATCCATGAACATGGAATAGGTGTTTATCAATGTCTTCTTCAAGTTTTTTTTATCATTGTCTTAGTGTTACTGTACAGATCTTTCACCTTCTTGGTAAATTTATTCCTAGGTATTTTATTCCCTTGGATTCAAATGAAAATGGGATTGTTTTCTTAATATTTCTTTCTGATTGTGTATAGAAATACAACTGATATTTGTGTACTGATTTTAAATCTGCAACTTTACTGAATTTGTTTATTAGTTTTAACAGTTTTTCAGTGGAATCTTTAGGTTTTCTATATATAATATCATGCCATCTACACAGAGACATTTATACTTCTTCCTTTTTAATTTGGAGGCCTTTTATTTCTTTTCCTTGTC